GTGTGTGTGTGTGTGTGTGTGTGTGTGTGTGTGTCTGTAACAGAATATTACTCAGCCATAAAAAGGAATGAAATTATGGCTTTTGCAGTGACCTGGATGGAATTGGGAGACCATTATTGTAAGTGAAGTAACTCAGGAATGGAAAACCAAACACTGTATGTTCTCACTCACAAGTGGGAGCGGAGTTATGAGGACACAAAGGCATAAGAATGATACAATGGACTCTGGGGACTCAGGAGAAATGGTGGAAGAAGGGCGAAGGTTAAAAGACTACACATTGGGTACAGAGTATACTGCTCAGGTAGTGTGCACCAAAATCTCAGAAATCACCACTTAAGAACTTATTCATGTAACCAAACACCACCTGTTTCCCAAAAACCTATTGAGAAAAAATTTTTCTAAAAATTAAAAAACACTAAAATAAAGAGTATATAGTAGATAGAAAATACAGGAACTGGGCACGGGGGCTCACGCCTGTAATTCCAGCACTTTGGGAGGCCAAAGAGGGTGAATCACCTGAAGTTAGGAGTTCAAGACCAGCCTGGCCAACATGGTGAAACCTCATTGCTACTAAAAATACAAAAATTAGCTGGGCATGGTGGTAGGTGCCTGTAATCCCAGTTACTCGGGTGGCTGAGGCAGGAGAATCACTTGACCCTGGGAGGTAGAGGTTGCAATGAGCCAAGATTGCGTCACGGCACTCCGGCCTGGGCTACCCAGTGAGACTCTGTCTCAAAAAAAGAAAATACATACATACATACATATAATATACATCCTATAAAAGCCATTTAAAGACATTAAATCAAAAAGTAAATAATAAAGGTAAAAAGTGAAATTAAATAGAAAATTTGGGCAAGCATGTGCCATAGAAGAGGTAAGAGACTGATAAAATATTTAGCAATCAGTTTGGTATGGAAACCAACCAAGCCAGGTGAATGCTAGCCATTAATAACCAGTGTGTAATGCTGTGATACAGAAAAGAGATTGGAATGGTGATTTTAAAAGATACCAGGGGTTACTTTTTTTCCTTATTCTTCTACCCCAGTCTCCTCTACCTTCCCTCTTCTCTCTTTTCCTTTTTACCCTTCCTTCTTTATCAGTCTACTCTTCACTCTCTCCTTAGGCATTTTCCCTTCTCTTTTCCCTCTACTCCTATGCCATTGTGTTGGGGGGAGTCCTCAAGACCATCCCAAGGTTTGATGATTCTCTAGAAGGACTCAGAACTCAGCATTTACTCATGACTGTGATTTAGTACAGTGAAAGGTTACAAGATAAACTCAGGAAAGGGAAAAGGTGTATGGGCAAAATGTGGAGGAATCCAGGCACAGGCTTCCAAGAATCCTTTCCTGGTGCAATCACACAGGACACACTTTATTCCTTTAGCAACAAATTGTGACATGTGTGAAATGTCTAATCAAGGAAGCTCATTAGAGATTCAATGCTGAAAGTTTTTACTAGGTACTGTTCATAAAGGCACCCTCTATCTAGCTTGTGCCCAAATTCCAGACTTCCAAAAGAACAGCAAGTATTCATCATAAATGACATTATTTTCTCAAGTAGTTCAGGCACAGTGAACCATTCTTATTCAGTCATGGTGGCCACCCTCCTGAAATCCCAGACTGTAGCCAAGGGACAGTCTTGTAAGCAGAACTTTCTAAGGGTAGCATTCTCAGACCTGCCATGTTAACTTGTTTTTTGTACACCTTGCCTTCTGCTATTCTCCCCACATCTCTTTCCCTTTATAGTATTACTCCCCTTTCCTTCATCTTAACCTCTTTTTCTAGTTTACAAACAATTCAGTGCTAAAGTCATTATGCTGGGGAGAGGTATCCTTCCTCACTTAGTATGGGATTAGGTTCCCAAGAGTGGAATTTCAGAACCTGAGCAGGTTGAGAAAGTAGTCTTTGTTTGGGGACTGTACGGATTTTAGAGGAGACAAAAATCAGATCCCAAGCTGTTGGGGGAAGGGATGGTAGTAGAGATGGGAGATTGGTTACATACAGGGGATTGAGAAATATATTGACAGTAATGGGAGCCATGTTTCTTACTCTTAAGAAGAGGGAGCTCAAGGAAAAGATGATTACCTTTGTACATGTTTCTTTGATACTGTTTTACTTGTTACAAAGAGTATATATTCTGTTGTAATTTGAAAAATGATAAAGTGGGAAAATATTTTCAGAAAAATAGCAATTTCAGTGGAAAAATGTGAAAAATTTTTTATGAAATATTGAAGTTCAGAAATAACAGAACATGATAGCGGTCTGGGGAAAGAATATCAAAGTTCAGGGCCAGAAGTGGTGGCTACCCGTAATCCCAATACTTTTCAAGGTAAAGGTGAGATGATTGCTTGCGGCCAGGAGTTCGAAACCAGCCTGAGCAACATAGCAAGACAAATACCAACAAATACCAGAACTTAGCCAGGTGGTGACATGCACCTGTAGTCCTAGCTATTTCGGAGGGTGACGTAAGAGGGTCCCTTAAGCCCAGGAGTTTGAGACTACTGAGAACTGTGATTTGCCATTGCACTCCAGCCTGGGTGGCAGAAGGAGACACTATCTCTAAAACTAAAATTAAAAAAAAAAAATTTGTTAATGTTAAAGTTCAAATGCACCTCAGCCAAATACTAGCTGTGTGACCTTGGGGAAATTACTCATGTATTAATCTTATAATCAGGAAATGTATTGAATAATAATTACCACCCCTGGATTAACACTTACTACACTTATTTTTATTATTTTTATTTTTGACAGAGTCTTGCTTGCTTTGTCACCGAGGTTGGAGTGTAGAGTACAGTAGCGTGATCTCAGCTCACTGCAACCTCTGTCCCCGGCGTTCAAGCAATTCTCCCACTTCAGCCTCCTGAGTAGCCGGGATTATAGGCATGCACCACCATGCCCAGCTAATTTTTTGTATTTTTTAGTAGAGACTTGGCCAGTCTGATCTTGAACCCCTGACTTCAAGTGATCCACCTGCCTCAGCCTCCCAAAGTGCTGGGATTACAGGTGTAAGCCACCATGCCTGGCCTGGCTTTTTATATTAGCTGTTATTGTTATTGATCAAAGTCAGATAACTCATAAATGTTAGTCTGGATATTTAAACATAAGGCTAAATTGCAATGTATATATGTATTGCTATAAGTATGCTTAGATGTATGGTAGAAGATTTAGGCATTACTTGTCTTTTTTTTTTTTTTTTTTTTTTTTAAACAGAGTCTTGCTCTATCACCCAGGCTGGAGTGCAGTGGCATGATCTCAGCTAATTGAAACCTCTGCCTCCCAGGTTCAAGCAATTCTCCTGCCTCAGTCCCCACTAGTAGCTGGGATTATAGGCATGCACCACCAGGCCTGGCTAATTTTTGTATTTTTAGTAGAGTTGAGGTTTCGCCATGTTGGCCAGGCTGGTCTCGAGCTCCTGACCCCAGGTGATCCACCCACCTGGGCCTCCCAAAGTGCTAGGATTACAAGCATGAGCCACTGTGTCCGGACTACTTGTCATTGTTGTACTATATGTCATACCTAGAAGACAAAGGGCCATGTAGCTTCAAATTATATACTTTATACAGCTAAAATGATTTCCAAAATTCTTATAATTACTTGTTGTGCTACTGTCAATAAATGAAAGTATCAGTTTATGCCTTTCCGGCATTGTGCATTGTCATCTTTTTAAAAAGCTGACAATTTTATAGGCTAAAAATTTATAATTTGATATTTAAACTAGCATTATTTTAATCAATAATGAATTTAGAAATCATTCTAGTTAAATTAGTGTAGATGCTAATAACATCCAACAGATTAAGACAGATTCCAATAGTTAATATTCACTAGGTACTTACAACGTAGTAGGTGTTGTAATTAGCACTTTTTATATATAAACTCATTTAATCTTAATAATATGCTCACTAGAATAATGATAGTCTACTTTTATAAAATATCAGAAATGTCATTTGTCTTAATTTGAGAGAGTACTTGTTAATTATCTGTATTGATATTTAATTGACTTTATTTAAATACATATAAGTGGTAAGTTGAACATAGCCTCTTTTCTTTATGACAGCATCTCATTCTGTCTTAAAAGAAGCCTTCACCCAGGCTGGAGCACAATGAAGTGATCATGGCTTACTGTATCCTCGAACTACTGGACTCAAGTAACCCTCTGCCTCAGTCTCCTGTGTAGGAGCCCACCACCATGCAGCTTATTTTAATTTTATTTTTTTATAGAGATGGGGTCTCGCTATGATTGCACAGGATGCTTTCAAACTCCGGGTCTTAGGCAGTCTTCTCACCTCAGTCTCCCAAAGCGCTAGGATTACAGGCAGGCATGAGCCACTGCCAGCCCATATTTATTTTTTATTTCTGTCCATCTTTAAGAAACACTTGAAGGAATTTCTTTTAAATCTGTATGTTGGGCTGGGTGCGGTGGCTCACACCTGTAATCCCAGAACTTTGGGAGGCCGAGGCAGGTGGATCACGAGGTCAAGAGATCAAGACTATCCTGGTAAAGATGGTGAAACCCCGTCTCTACTAAAAATACAAAAAAATGAGCTGGGCATGGTGGCCCGTGCCTGTAATCCCAGCTACTCAGGAGGCTGAGGCAGGAGAATTGCCTGAACTCAGGAGGCGGAGGTTGCAGTGAGCCGAGATCACGCCATTGCACTCCAGCCTGGGTAACAAGAGCGAAACTCCCGTCTCAAAAAAAAAAATCTGTAATTTGTGCTTTTGTCCATTAGATGTCCTCAGCTACGTTTATCAGAATTTAACTTTTCTCGCACAAATTTTAGTCTCTAAATACGTTGAAAAGTTTGCATGTAATTTTTACTACTGTTGATATTTTAAACATTTATACAAGGTCTCTAAAAATCTATAGATACATGAGGATGTGTGGTAGAAGATTTAGACATTTCTTGTGTCTTTTGTACTATATGTAATCTTGGTTAAATAAATTTTTAAGTGTTAAATTACTTATTAATTTTTTTCTTTTTTTCTCCCCTTTTTAATTTAAAGAGTTTTGGGACTGGAGTTAAATAAAGACAGAGATGTTGAAAGAGTCCATGGTGGTGGAATTAACACCCTTGACATTGAACCTGTTGAAGGGAGATAGTAAGTTTATTATACTTATATAATCATTTTTCTTTCTAAGTGAAATGCAGTAAAATCCTGCTTTTTCAAATTAATGATATAGAAGGTTCATTAAAATTAATGAAAATCCTAAATTGTAGCATTTTTTAATCTGGCATTATTAATTTCAAATAAATGCAAAACATCAAACCTACAAAATGTCATATAAACATTTCCAAGCTACTTTACTATAAATAAATACTGTTAAATCAACAAATGCTGAACTTCTTTTGGATGCAGAGGGCTTTTAAGTGCTAGTGACTTTAGGTGCTATTTTAAAACATAGTTGCTGCTGCTCTCAAAAAGTCTAATGGGAAAATAATATAAAAAGGGGAAGACTATTTTGAAGAATTAGGTTCAGAACAAATAAGAATTATATTTAAGTTCTTTCTGGCTTTACCACTTAGCAGCTTTGTGACCTTGAGCAATTTACCTAACCTTTCTAATTCTCAGTTGCCTTAGCTATACACTGGGAACAACAATACCTACCTAACAAGTTTGTTTGGAGGATTGAGATATATGTACAACATGATTAGCATAAAACCTTGCATATCATAAATCTTTGCCACCACTGCTGCCGCTATTAATCAAAAGCAGTATTGCATATACTTTTATTCCTTTTAGTCCAGTCTCTACACAGCAGTCAAAGTGCTTTGAAAAATGCAATTCCAGACATATTCTCCTACTTACAGCTCATCATAATACCACATTACTCTTATAAGACAATACAAAACCTTTCATGTGGCCTATAATAAAGCCACATATAGCATTAACTAAAGGAAACAGTTTGTCATGTTATGGTAATGTTTAGTATTTCAGAATTTTTATTTTATACTGAAATGTTATTATTTACATTAAGTCAAGTCAGAACAGATTTGATAAACTTCCACTTTCTACTTCCAGCTTCTACTATGGTCTCTCTCAGTACTGTATAAGAAACATCTTACTTTTAGCATGTGGTTAAATCTAAAAGATGATGAGTAATCATTCTTTCCTTCTTCCTGAACTTTTCCAGGCTCAGTATAACACCTTCTATTCAAGGACAACTGTGGGGCACTCACTTATGAAACATGCAGACTTGAGCAGCAAGAGATAGCTGACTTTTGGGTTTGGGTACTGGTCAGGAAAGTATTTAATACTGCTACTCCAGCCAGCCACTTGGGGTAGTAATCAATTGTGTGGCCTGTGAAGTATCAGAAGCCAGTAGACTACTAGTTGGCAGAGTTGGTGAGAAATGTGGGAAGTTATAGATTATATGTGCGTGAAATATATTTGAGAAATACAAGTGAGGTGTCTTTTAGTACAGCACATAGAAAAAAGACTGAAGACTTTTGCTACAGTGGTTTTCCCCTTTATTGCATGGTAAAAGTCTACAACTATTTATTTCATTGTTTGCTAAGACTTTTATTTTGCATTAACCCCTTTTGATAGCAAAAAGAGATATAAAAAGGAAAGTGTACATTCGATGGAAAACTAAGTTCTAATTTTCTTAAGAAAACTCGATGTATATATAAGTTGCTCAAAATACCTGTAATATTTACCATACACTATGAGAGCTGTAAAGATGTCACTGAAAATCAGAATGGAAACTAGACAGAATACACAAATCTGATAGAGAAACATTTATTTTCAAAGTTAGGTGCTATTTTACAAAAACTATCTGAAAATTACAGTTTAACAGATGCAACTGCAGAGGATGCATTGGCATATCACTCTGTGATGCTTGAATTTTCTTTTATACCTTTAAATTCTTCTAAGTTAATTTCATTCATCTTTAATACTAAGTTTTTTTGTCTATATAAAAACAGAAACCATATCTCTTAATACTCTGTCAGCAGAAAAGTATCTCATAATTAAATAATGTCAGTGCCATCAAATACTTCAAATAGAAAGTTAGTGGAATCCGAGAAAAGCTTTTGAAAGCCATTTTAACATAGTTGAAACATCTGACATTAGTGTAAATACCATATCAATTAAGATTAAAAGTTCTTAACATAATTTTATTTTATATTGATTATACATCAATATAATATACATGATAATACATGGTAAGAAAAGCATAACTTTTAACATAATTTTGTTTTAAACTGATTATACATCAATATAATATGCACGATAATACATGGTAAGAAAAGCAATGTTTTGTGAAGATGAAGTATGAAGCAGAAGTGTTTTGGGAGTTAGGTGTAGTATATATGTAACTCACAACTGTGTCTAAACATTTTATGAATCTAAATAAAAGTTGTAGTTGTTAAAATTTACAGATATTTCTCTATGTATACATTTAGAGTAACTGAATTATAAATTTTTGTAATAAAGCTAATGTGGAATTTTTTTTAATAACTAAGTAGGCCATTATTAGCAGACTTTCTTTATTGCTCATCAATTGGATTTGAGCCATCAAATAACTACTTTTAAATTAACCTAATTGTTTTATAAATTGGTATTGAATTTATCTTAAAAACAAGTCTATAAATCGCTACTTGCTACTAGTTCATGAACTGTTTGCAACTGGTTCACAAGACAAGAAGCTTGTACTAAAACATAAATCTACTAAATCATTACACACACCATTTAAAGGAGCTAAGATATGCATGCAGCAAGACTTTCTCAATGAAGAAAGACGTGTGTTTATTTCCGGCACAAGCTCCTTATCTTGGAGAGTTAAATAGCACTGCTCTACATTTAATTGTATTTTGTTCAAAATCAGGTGAAAATCTTTCAGTCAAAATATTCTGTGAATGTAGTGCCAAAAACTGTAGTTTGGGTGCCATTCTTGAAAGATGACAATGTCAATGCAGTTTTTAACATTCCTCTAATTCTCCGTTAAAACACATAAAGGGACTAAAAATGGCAAGTAAAAAAATCAGATTAACACAACAAAACTAGGTCATGAAGTATCCCCACAAACCCCTAAGTGGAAATGAACTACTGACAACTGCGCTACCAGCATTTATGCCAGAGGAGGCAGTAAAAAGCACTAAGGCATCTGATATACCTGGATAAGTCCAAAATAACCGATAAGTTGTTGAAAGCTTAGCAAGCAAATTTGACTACAGTAGTTAAAATTGGGAGAGGATGGCATACTCTAATTGTAGGTAAGTTTGAATGGTCCATGTTGTAAGAGCAGAAGGAGCTATAGCAGTCTGGGCCCTAATATCTCTCTAAATAGCTAACCAGTCAAAGCTCCCCTCCAGTACATCACTATACACTGAGGAAAAACTGCTGGAAATAGAATCCAAATTAAGCAATTCAGAGACAATAGAAACAAAGAAGAAAGATGTCCCTGATAAAATTGGGGAGGTGACTAGAACCAGGAAATCTCTGAAAGTAAGCTGCCATATTTTGAAATCTTACCCCGCAAAAAAAAATTGTTCAGGGAATAAGAGGATTTTTAATATATAAAATTTAAACATTATTCTAAGTCAAACCTCCATTCTAAAAGGTTAAGAAAATTAATTTTACATAAAAATAAGCAGAAGAACAAGATTAAGGTCAAAGTTCCTACAAAATTATTATAAAAACAAAGAGAATAAGAAGTGGACTAATGCTGTTATGGGGAGTGAAGTCATACCCGAAAGAAGTATCTATAAAACGGATGAGAACTCTAACCTAATATTTCAAAACTAGGTAAAAGTTGTTTTATAAAGGTATAATAAATGAAAGAATAATGTTAAGTTGGAATTAGAAAACCTCAGAAATGAGATGTTCAAACTCAAAACATAGAACCAAAAATATTTCAGAAATGAGTACTAAAGTATAAGGAACACAAATAAGTGGAAGAGGTAATGCCTTAGAAATAGAAACTAGAAAGGAGGAAATTTTTAAAAACAAAAAAATGAAGAGAGAAAAATAATTCAAGAGATGTATATATAGAATATAGGCAAAGAAGATCCAGCATAACATATAATAAGAGAAGAAAGAAGAAAACCAAGGCAAAAGAACAGAATAAATATGAAAACAATAATTCAAGAAAACTTTTCTAGGATAGATAAGATCTGGAACTTTATATAAGGGGGAAAATTACGTTGTTACTAGACTTTGACTTTGGCTTTCTGGCCAAAGAAATGAAGCTTCTTATCCAAGATGCTCAAGGAAATAAAATGTGAGTGAAGGATTTTATATCCAGCCAAATTGATTTCAAGTATGAAAAGGACAGATAAATTCTCAAAAACACAGAAATTCAGAGACAGTTGTTCTCATTAGCCATTCCTTAGGAATCAACCAGAGAATGAAATCTTTCAACCAGAATGACAAGAGAGACAATAACATAAGGATTGATGGTGAGCAATAATATTAGCAGATAGCAACACTTTATATAGATGTATAAATTGATGGATCTAGGTATTGGTTTGTCTGCTAATATCACATCACAATAAAGAGTAATGGCAAATAGAAATCATTTTAAATTATAGCACATGCATGCAGTCACCAAAGTCCAGGCTGGACATTCTAGGACAAGTGATCTGGTTTCTGCAACAAAGAAATTACAAGAGAGGGAAAAAATGCAAGAGGGAGGGAGAAAGAAAGGTAGGAGAGACCTATAGATTAAAATTAAAAGGCATTAAATTTTTTTAAAGCAAACCTAATATTCACGCATACACTCTAGAGTGATGAGCTATGAACTGTACAGAAAAGAAAGACAGTGATTATGGTAAAAATCATGATAATGAGTTATTTTGAGATGAGAAGGAAGGAGTGATAATCTAGAGAGATTGCATTGTTTGGACCTTTGTGAAGAATTTTTCATGGTGCCTCTATTTTTAATGGGAATAAATGTATATTTTGTATAGTAATGGAATAACATTCACAATGTCTAAGATTTTATAATATTTAAAGTTGGTGTAACTTCCAAAAGAAACATAAAATAGAGAATTTATTCAAGGAGGATTTTATCTTATAAAAAAAAGTACTAAGGAAAGGTACTTTTGAATGAAGGTCAAAAAAAACAGTGAAAATAATCTGAAATATTTGCACATTTCAAAAATGTCTGCCATTTTGCAGAATTTGCTCTGAAGTTACCATGTATCTCATCATCTATTATTATTTCCTAAATTAAACATATTATGGCTTTTAGGGAAGTCAGTTAAAAGTGGCAACAATTCTAGATTTAAAGGTTATTTTAGACAGTTTTATGCAAAAAACAAGTAAGTTCATATTGAAAAATTCCATTTTAAAAATACAAGTAACAGTCTTAGAGAAAAATAAGGTTAAGAAACTGATTAAAGTATAGGAAGTCCCAAGAATGATGTTTACAAATTATTAAGTTCAATCAATGTATGTAGCTTTAGTATATATGCTTGTTACTTTTACTTTTTAGATATTTTTTTTTTTTTTTTTTTTGGAGACGGAGTTTCGCTCTTATTACCCAAGCTGGAGTGCAATGGCGCGATCTCGGCTCACCGCAACCTCCGCCTCCTGGGTTCAGGCAATTCTCCTGCCTCAGCCTCCTGAGTAGCTGGGATTACAGGCACACACCACCATGCCCAGCTAATTTTTTGTATTTTTAGTAGAGACGGGGTTTCACCTTGTTGACCAGGATGGTCTCGATCTCTCGACCTTGTGATCCACCCGCCTCGGCCTCCCAAAGTGCTGGGATTACAGGCTTGAGCCACCGCGCCCGGCCTTTAGAAATATTTTTGCAAAGTTTTCAAATAGAATAATTTTTTAGGTTCTACCAATATAATAGACCAGCTCTAGAGTGAGTCAATAATTGTTTCCAAAAAAAGATACTGCTTATTTTTAGCATCATCTTTTACTCTCAAAAGTAAGGCTTCCAGTGATTTGGCCCCTGCCTCTCATCTCTCACCACTCTTTTCCTTCTACCCTGCACCAGCAACATTTTCCTTTTTTTGGTTGCTAGAGTGGGGTTGGAATGTTACTTTTACAGCTTTCTGGCTAACTCTGAATTCTCCTTCACATGCCAGCTTAAATATTACAATCAGGGAAACTGTTCCTGAATTTTCACACTAGAATAAAAATAAGTTATTGTCACAATGATCCCAATCATAACTAATAATTTGTGTGATTATGCATACTACCTGTTTTTGCTATTGGAATGTAAACTGTGCAAAGACAGAAACCATGCCTGCCTTGTTCACAGTTGTTTTAGCAGAGTGCCTAACATTGTAGGAACTTAAAGTTGAATGAACTGAGTGAATGCATTCATAAGAGAAGGAAGGAATCTAACATTTATTTATCTCCTATTTTTTGCCATGTACTATAAAAAGAATTTTGCACTTAAGTTTTATTATCAACATTGTGATTTAGGTAAAAATGTCCCCCTCCTTTACAAATGTTGAAAGCCTTAGATAGGTGGTGTAACTTGCCCAGGGTCGAAATTAGGACATTTAAAATAACTGTAATATTTTACTTTCTTAAGAAATCTCTTTCACAATCATGCTGCATTTAGAAATACATATTTTAAAAAAAAGAAATCTCTTTTGCCATCTTGTTTCTGTCACTCTTTCTTTTTTGAAGTTACGGAAGTAAACTTGAAATGATCACAGAATAAATTTTTATATTCATCTATAAATATTAAGAAATTTTAGTTTATTAAGTCTGTGCTATTGAGGATTAACTCATTGCAAACTGATGTATCCTTAATTCATTTGAGTGTTTGCAAATCAGTTTTTAGAAATTTGCAATCATAAACTTACTACATAAAATGATAATGTGAACTTTTTTTATTATCAGCATGTTATCAGGTGGTTCAGATGGTGTGATTGTACTTTATGACCTTGAGAACTCCAGCAGACAACCTTATTACACATGTAAAGCTGTGTGTTCCATTGACAGGTATGTATTAAAAATGTAAAAATGTATGAATTTGTAAATAGTTGAGTATTTTTTGCATCGAATGCAAAACTTGAAAGTAGAAGTCAAGTGAATGGGTCAAGCGAATTGTTCAAGTGACACATTTGCATGGTTATTCCTTGACACTTTCTCAAAAATAGTAACTGACATTTAGGTATAGTTTTTTAACATGTGACTTCCCCAAAACAACTTTGGTATCAAATTTGAAAAGGATTTTATTTTTTAAAAACTTTTGATTATGTCTTTCTTTTTCTATACCTAAATAGCACATCCCAGTAACTACGAGTTTTTAGTACCTCTTAGTATAAGATTCATTTATAGTCCTTCAGCTAATTATAAACACAAATTATATTTTCAACTGATACTAATGGAAGAAAAGTTTTAGATATATAAAACATACTGGTATTCCCTCACCAAAGACACACATATACATATACCCACTCACCCCTCTCTCGTCTCTCTACTTATCAAAGATGCCTAACTTAAAAACATACTTCTATTATAATACTTGTCTTCTCTGACTATTCTCTGCTGGCTTATCAATCTTGTGATAAATATTTTAAGTCTAATAAAATGTTTGTGACCTAGTTTTTCCATTTTGGTCATTTAATCCTTTCTCATCACCTATATCCAATCTGATAATGAGCAGACCTTTGAATTAACAGGGAGAATGGGTGCTAAGAAAATGCTTTCAAGAGGGAAAACTTTGTAAACATTAACATCAACAGTCTTTTACAGCTTTTCCCGAAGCATTAGAATAGTTGCTATGAAACATTTGTGAAGAGATTTTTCTGTTGTTTTTTGGCTCTGGTGCTTCACATTGGAAATACAGATTTGAGGAAATCAGTTAATCTCAGCTTCAGACTATTTTGTTTTAAAAATAAGTATACATGGTTCTTAAGACCAGCCTTGCCAGCATAGTGAAACCCCATCTCTACTAAAAATGCAAAAATTAGCTAGGCATGGTGGTACATGCCTATAGTCCTAGCTACTCAGGAGGCTGAGGCAGGAGAATCACTGGAACCTGGAAGGCAGAGGTTGTGGTGAGCCGAGATCTTGCCACTGCACTCTGGCCTGGGCAACAGAGTGAGATTCCGCCTCAAAAAAAAAAAAAAAAAAAAAAAAAAAAAAAAAAAAAAAAAAAAATGTTCCAGCCTAACCTAATGCAAGTCTCCACTATACAGCCAAAAGGTGATCATCCTCTTCCACAAAGGGTGATGATCCTAAGTTGAAAACTAAAACCACTGTGTAAGTGAAAAACAATGTACTTACAGGAAAACTTAGTGGAGTTTTCCATACCTGGCTCCATTTCAAGGTCATGTTCATTTTTCATTAGTTTAACTTACATCAGTATTATACAATTTGTATACTCAATTATAGTTAACCTATAAAAATAATGAAGGTAAGAGAGGAAAGAATGAGGAAATTATTAAAATATATAAATATTTACAGAGAAAAGAAGGAAATATGAGTAGGCACTATAGTTCTTGTATTTTTACAGCTGTTTTAATGCCAGAGTTGGCACTTAAGACTTTCCTTCTTCATGTTCTCATTCCTTCAGATAGCACCACAACTCTTTAAGGTCCCAAACCTTCATCATAAGGAATCCAAAAGCAACATGATTGTATCTGTATAGGGTTACTGTTAACTTTTTTAACAGAAGGCTTCTGTTAACTTTTGTTTTCTATGGGAAATTTCAAATATATATGAGATTGGAGAATAATATAATGACCTGTGTATCAGTCACCCAGCTTCACCAACCATCATAACCAATATTGTTTCATCTCTACCTCCTACCCATCCACCTTCATAATTATTTTCAAGTAAATCTTGAACAGTGTGTAGTTTCATCCATAATTATTTATGTCTCTAAAAGATAAAGACTTTATATGCATAACTGCAGTACCATTATCTTACATACACAAAAATTCTCTATATTAAATATCCAGTCTGTGTTCAAATTTCCCTCTTTGTCTCATAAATCTCTCTTAACAGCCAGTTTGTTTGAGCTGAGCCAAGATTAATTAACATCCAGTTTGTTTGAGTTGAGCCAAGATAAATCTCTCTTAACAGCCAGTTGAACCAAGATTCAGTTAGGTAACGCACTGTGTTGGCCACTGATTCAGAGCATACTACATCCTTCAGGACAGCATACCACCCTCACAAGGTGGTGTATTGTAGCTGATGTCATAACTAAGTCTTCAACATGTTGTGTTTTTATGGAAGATGGGTTACATAAGATGTGCATTTCGTGGGCCTCCACCAGTTGCATTCTTTGGTCAGAGAGTAAGTTCCTTGATAAAAAGCAATATTGTGTGGAATACTACAGAGGTGTGTGAAACATTCAACAATTCTAAGAATAGTAGTGCTAATAGAATGAGACTTGGGAAAAGCAAATCCAAAACCAAAACAGCTGTTTCTTCCAATAAGACCAAATCACTGCCCCTTCCAAGATGAAAGAAGTCCAGTATAGTTGGCTGATCCTTTCAGTCTGAATATAGTACAGAAACAGAGAATCTCTCACATGATGACCCTTAGTAGGAAGCACACCTCTACATCACACTATAGGAGCCTGAATCTAGAGATGCCTGGACGTTCTTTCTCACCTTCTTCTACACAGCTAAGACACAGGCATGTGATCTGAGTTTGACCATTCATATCATCCTACCTGAGACTACAACTTGTTCTTAATACAGCACCAGTTTTGAAACTCACATATGTCAGTTATCTGTAAATTTTGATGGTTGTTTTGTAGATATCATCCTGATGTTCACAAATACAGTGTGGAAACTGTACAGTGGTATCCTCATGACACTGGCATGTTCACATCAAGCTCATTTGATAAAACACTGAAAGTATGGGATACAAATACATTACAAGTAAGTACATTACAACATTTGCAAATTGCTTTGTAGGATGAAGGAGAATTTAATCCTAAACGATTTTAGTATGATTATTTGCTGAGATGTCTTATATGTTAGATGTGAAAGCAGTATAGTGGTTAAGAAGAGCTGGACTGCTTGAGTTCGTATTCTGGCTGTGCTGCTAAACAGCTGTATGACAATGGGCAGATGTCCAAACCTCTGTGTCTGTCTCATGTGTAAATGGAAATAATGATTATAGAATGGTTGTAAGAATTAAATCAGCTAGTATATGTAAAGTAGCTAGTACAGTACATAGCATATAGTAAATGCTCAAAAACTATTAGCTATTATTAGTATACCTTTGTGAAAACTATTGTCTAGTAATCTAAAGTAGAAAACTGTATTTATCTTTGATTGATCTAAAAACTTGAAGGAAAAAGCTGTTAATACTGTAGCTTAGTAAAGACAGGCAGTGGATTATAGTTTCTATGATATTTGGTCAAATTCACATTTCTAGTGCTAATCTTTTCTCTGAGCTCTACTCTGATATTTCTGTACTTTTCTACAGTATCTCTATACTTAAATGTAGTGTCATCTCTTCAAACTTAACATGTTCCAAACTGAATGTGATCACACCTCATTAAATTTAGTCATAAAATCTTAGCAATTCTTTCATCAAACTCTCTCATACTTCTCTTTTCTATTTCCCTTGCCTTTACTGCACATCTAGACTACTAAAATCTCCGCCTTGCTTTCCTTCTACATTTTCTACACTAAGTTCTACCCCAGAATTAATCTTACCATAAAGCAGTTTCATCATGTCGCTACCCAAACCCTCTAGGGATTCCCATTGTCTAAACTCAGCTTGGCATTCGAAGCTATCCATGACTTCAGCCCTTGTTCCTTCAATCCAACTTTCTACCTGTCTTCAACACAAATGCTTTGCTGCAACTAAATTGATCATATTTTGAAGCTGTTGTATTCCCTGCCTCAAGTCCCTTTCCCTTGCAACTTTTCCCTTATCTTAAGGTCACATCTTTTTTTACAGTTACTTTGAGCCCGGACTGAGGATGCCAGAGTCCTAGTTCCATTCTGCCACTTATGAGATTTATTGCTGTAGATAAGTCATTTAATTTGTTAGCAAAGGTCTCTGCAGCTATAAAATTAAGGTGTCAGACTAGATGTTGTCTAAGGTCCCTTTTAGTTCTATCATGCAATTTAGTGATTTTAGCTTCTGGAGTATCTATTAACTGTTATTTTACTTTAACTTTATAGCACTATTTTCTGTATTCTTATTTTAACATATTTTCATACTACCTTATAGTATCATTTTTATACTTGTGTGTTTTATTTGTTGTTCTAGATTGTTACCTCCCCAAAGAAAGGACTATGTCTTATACATTACTAAATTCAGTGTTATATACAGTAACTGCTGAATAAATGCTTTAAGGATGACTAGCGATGTATGTAACTGGCCACATATTAATAAGTAGTAAAATCACAAAGTATATTATGATTCTCATCAGCAAAACAGAACTGTGCTGTGTATATAAATGCAAATTTAATACACTTCTAATAATTCAAACTAAATAGACGTGTCTTTTTGACCTTGCTACGTTAGAATAGACCTATCATTTCAGATTTATTTGTATATTAAAGTATATTTATTTAAAATACGTCATTGATAATGAGAATATATTTTAACAATTAAATAAATGTCATGAGCTTTCACTTCTGACTATAATGGAGTATCTTGTAGCCAAACCAGCACCTCCATTGAGAAAAACTAGATAGAATATAAACAAACACCGAGTTGAGGGTTTTGGAAAGCTGCCAAGAAATCTAAGACTTGAGAATCAGATCCGAGAGAGTACTTAGAGAAATGCATTCACTTTCCACACACTCTTTTTCTCTTTGGGCATTTAACATTAATGTAGAGCAAGAGACTGAGAAGACAGGCATTAGATAGTTTCTAAGAGGCAGATAAATGAGTGGGACTTTAGTCAATTTCATAAAGCTGGAGAGACAGAAATTGAGCTGTGGAATGTGGGCTGCCAAGACAGCCAAAAATTTATACACCATGGAATATTATGCAGCCATCAAAAACGATGAGTTCACGTCCTTTATAGGGACATGGATGAACCTGGAAACCATCATTCTCAGCAAACTGACACAAGAGCAGAAAATCAAACACCGTATATTCTCGCTCATAGGCGGGTGTTGAACAATGAGAACACATGGACACAGGGAGGGGAGCACTACACACTGGGGTCTGTTGGGGGGAAATGGGGGAGGGGCGGGGGGTGGGGAGGTGGGAGGAGATAGCATGGGGAGAAATGACAGATACAGGTGAGGGGACGGAGGGCAGCAAAGCACACTGCCATGTGTGTACCTATGCAACAGTCTTGCATGTTCATCACATGTACCCCAAAACCTAAAATGCAATAAAAAAAAAAAAAAAATTAAAGGGTCAAGATCACAGAAAGAAGACAGATGCAGAAAAACAAGCTTAACATCTTGCATTGGTTTTTTCATTGAGGTATTTGCTGACCAAGCTATGCAAAACCATAGACTAAGAAATGAAGCAGAAAACATCTGAAAAAGAGCAATTTTCCCCAGTCACATGGTACTAGAGAGAAGAATTGCAGTGCAGTACTTGCTAAGCAGAAAGGAGCCTAGGGAAAAACCCAGGCTCTTAGAGCACCTAGAGGGGTATTCTCTAAGAATGGGTACAAATAGGAGGTAGATAGAGCTCAATTTTTCCTATGTAATTTCTAGTATTCAAATTATTATTCTAAACACTTAAAAAGGCTGGGTGTGGTGGCTCATGCCTGTAATCCCAGCACTTTCGGAGGCTGAGGGCAGGTGGATTACCTTGACTTGGGAGTTCGAGACCAGCCTGACCAACATGGAGAAACCCCATCTTTAGTAAAAATACAAAAAATTAGCCAGGCATAGTGGCTCATGCCTGTAATCCCAGCTACTCAGGAGGCTCAGGCAAGAGAATAGCTTGAACCCAGGAGGCTGTGGTGAGCCAAGATTGTGCCATTGCACTCCAGCCTGGGCAACAAGAGTGAAACTCCATCTCCAAAAAAATGAAAAAACCACTTTAAAAAGAGATAATGCCAATCTTATGCAAATACTTCAAGAGGGAAAAAAGGGACATTTGTAAACTTTTCTTATGGGGCCAGCATATCCTCAAAACTTACAAGGGCATTGCATGGAAAATACAGGCCAGTGTCTCTTAAATATAAATACAAAATTCCTAAATGAACTATTAATAAGTAGAATCTAGCAATATACAAAAAGAATAACATATCATGAGTAGACAGAAACAAAGTTGTTAACATCTAAAAATCAACTAGTGTAATTCATCATTAACAGAATGATGAAAGAAAGAAGAGGAAAAACTATATATTAGTCATCTCAATACATATAAAAATTTTTAAATAAAAGTCAATATCTTTTTTTTTTTTTAGAGACAGAGTCTTGTTCTGTTGCCCAATCTAGAGTGCAGTGGTGCAGTCATAGCTCACTGTAACCTCAGACTCCTGGGCTCCAGGGATCCTCCCAGCTCAGCCTCCCATGCAGTGAAGGCTACAGATGTACACCACTGTCTCCAGCTAATTTTTTAACTTTTTGTAGAGACAATATCTTTCTATGTTGCCCAGTCGGGTCTAAAAATCTGGCCTCAAATTATCCTCCCACACTGGCCTCGAAAAGTGTTGGGATTACAAGCATGAGCCACTGTGCCCATCCTCACATTTTTTTTTTTTTTTTTTTTTGAGACAAAGTCTTGGTCTGTCACCAGGCTGGAGTGTGCAGTGGAGTGATGTGGGCTCACTGCAACCTCTGCCTCCCAGGTTCAAGCAGTTTTTCTCCCTCAGTCTCCCAAGTAGCTAGGACTACAGATGCCCGCCACCATGCATGGCTAATTTTTTGTATTTTTGTAGAGATGGGGTTTCACCTTGTGGGCCAGGATGGTCTCAATCTCCTGACCTCATGATCCACCTGCCTTGGCCTCCCAAAGTGCTGGGATTACAGGCATAAGCCACTGCGCCTGGCCCTGCGTTTTTAAAAATTCTCTGTATACCAGGAATACAAGAGAAATTCCTTAATTTGATAAAAAGTATTAAAAAAAAAAAAAAAAACTAAAGCAACCATTATAGTTGGTGGTAAAATGTTGAAAGCTTTCGCTTTGCATTATCCCCATTATTTCCTCTATTTAACATTTTACTAAATGTCCTAGTCAGCGCAATAAAGCAAACAAAGGAAACAAAAGACATAGGAAGTAGAGAGGAAGCATTTAAACTGTCATTTACAGAAGACGTGATTATGAACCTAGAAAACTCAATCTATAGCCAAATTATTAGAATTAATATAACTAGGCTGGGCGCAGTGGCTCACGCCTGTCATCCCAGCACTTAGGGAGGCCGAGGTGGGCAGATCCTGAGGTCAAGAGATCGAGACCATCCTGGTCAATGTGGTGAAACCCCGTCTCTACTAAAAATACAAAAAATTAGCTGGGCATGGTGGCGCATGCCTGTAATCCCAGCTACTCAGGAGGCTGAGGCAGGAGAATTGCCTGAACCCAGGAGGCGGAGGTTGCGGTGAGCCGAGATCACGCCATTGCACTCCAGCCTGGGTAACAAGAGCGAAACTCTGTCTCAAAAAAAGAAAAAAAAGAATTAATATAACTAAATTTAGCAAATTTGCTGGATACAAGGTAAAAAATTTCTAAATTCCAGACACAATTATAAAATGAAATTTCAAAACTAATATTGTTTACCATAGCATCAAAAATCATCATATACCTAGTAATAAATTTAATGAAAAATATACGAGACTATTTTGAATATACAGAGATCTTTAGAACATTATTGAGAGAAATTAAGACCTAAATAAGTGTGAAGTATTCCATGTTCAAGAATTAGAAGGTCAATGTGGTAAAGATAGATACCAGTTCTACTCAAAGTGATCTATAGAATAAATGCATTTCCTATCAGAATCTTAAA